GTCCTCTGGGGATTAACTCTCTCATTCTAAGTACTTACCTACCCGGTCGTTATATATCACACGTTCATGTACATATTTTCTTTAAAAACGTGTAGCTTAACCTCTTGAATATGTGTTTGAGCGACTGAACATGTAGAATTATTGTCCAATAGGGATTTCAGAAATAGTACTGTCAAAATGAACATAAAATGAAGAAATGAGCTAGTCCCGCCGTTTTAATAATATATCGTCATTATTTAATTCTTATCGTCTTCATAATCTACGTAAGGTCACATTACTTTTTGCCATATTGGGCAAGACCAACTAACAATTTCCAGAAACAGTAACACACACTTATTTGGTTATATGGTCCACGAATACTGTATTTAATTGGATCTAGTTAACGAGTTAATGAATTAGCTGAATGAAAGTCATCCATACAGTGAGATAATACGCCATTCATGAATAAACAGATATTATATTTATATGAACGGTTAAATAACGTAACAATTACGTACACGACACACGTATATAGTAAGGATAAAATACATTTGGTAATTTGCAAACAGTGTACCTCCTGTAACCCAGTCATGATGTATTGTTATTTGATAACCATATTTCAAGCAGAGGATGTCTCACATACCAAAGATTTTTCCTTAAATAAAACGTAATTTAACCTTAATTTGGCCTCAATTTGGTTGAATTAACGACGATTAGGAAACCCTTAGAGCGAATTTACTGTCTTTTGTGTCTTTGTTATCACTTAAGAAGTTAAGTGGAGTAATTGTTATTTCAGAAAGATCACTTACCACGTCAGCTATTAAAAGGCTTCGATTAATCTAGGTTTAATAGGAAGTTTTGAAAGTCGACACCACAGAGTGCTGATGGAGTTGCTTAAATCGAACGAAATCCCCTCGTAGTCAATCATTCCCGAGAATAATTAATTTAAATTATATCAGCTGCATATTATGCCCGTAGGACAAAAGTGCAACATTTAATATTTTACACTCCCCTCTATGGCGGATCCGGGGGGGGGGCATGGGGCCCGCCCCCCCCCCCCCCCTAAGGTTGGCCCAAAAAAAAAGTGGGCCTTTTGGTCACTATTGGGCCTTCTAAGGCCTTATTTTTTTAAATTTTAGGCCAAATTTTGAAGAAAATGGGCCTCAAATTTTCAAAATTTGGGCCCACTTTTCAGTGTTAGGGGCCCACATTTTTCTCTGACCTCAAATTTGGCCCCCCCCTGTTGGTTCCTGGATCCGCCACTGCCCCTCCATAAGTTTGGCAACCTTAGCTCCCCCCCATTGAACTACGTGTTAAAGCCTCTTTACCTTTGAATATGTATCTACTGAACCTGCGATGAAAATACTATTGATGGAAACGCAATTTGACTTTATTTCCAATATCTCCAAAAAATATTTTTATATAGGAAATTGAATTGTCTAACTTTTTTTGTACACCAAATCCGTTGTCCTGTGTCATATTCTGATCGGTAAAATTAAAGCCTTTATTTCGATGGTAGAACATATTTAACTATATGATCAGTAGAAAAACACTTTGTGATTGCAGTACCGACGAAGGATTTTAATCTAGTCGCTCGATTAAACATACAGTGCATGATAATCTAATTGAAGCGACGGTTATGTCCGCCATTTGTGACAACGGTATCAGACTTTACCGTTGTCAGGTTATTCCGGTGTATTTTTGGTAATACGCTCATTTATGCCTTGGTCACATAGGCTCCGATTTTCACTACGGCGCCCGGCCGATGAGTATTTTGTTCAAAATCGGCCGGCGAGTCCGGGCATCGTACGGGCGCCGGGCGATGATCGCCACTCATCGGCCGATTTTTAGACATCGTACGGGCGCCGGCAGAGCTTTATCGCGGAGATAAAAGTTGCCGATGTCTTGGCGATTTTTTCTCAACCAAACTCATCGGTACCTACCCGGCCGTGTCCCGTCCGGTCATCGTACGATTATCTTACGGCGCCCGGTGGCATCGCACGGTCATTTTGGGATTTTGCGTGCTGATTTGTTGATAAATCTTAATAATGATTACTTATAAAGTGATATAACGGTTTTAGAAATAATGAGGTAAGGAATTATAATTACTACACACTGTCAGAGATATTTTACAAAACATAAATGGAACGATTAGGCTTACTGTAAAACAATGACACACATTTGAATGGCTGGGTGGGTGGGTAGGTTGATCTAGTCGTTCTTATATTGACATTAATCGTGTATGTCTGTCATACACATTGAATAGAGTGATACATTTTTTATGCGTATTATTCACTCATGCATATACCATTACAAATCATTTATTTTAAAAATCTTCTGAATGTTTTTGTGAGAAGAAAGATGCAGAAATAGGGAATTTTGCTAATAGCATCGGATGGACAGGTAGACATAACATTTGTTTATATGAAAGATCTAAAAATGAATTAAGGTCAGGGTGCACTTTGATGAAAAGACCACGTGCAGTATGGCAAGTGATTTTAGACGGTCATATCTTTCACCATGAGTACTTTCTGGGCATAAATACAGTGTTTTATTAAAACAATATGTTTTCTTTTAATTGAAGTATCCATGATAGTAAAAATATCAATCAAACAATTTGAAAAATTATGAATAGGGACCCCATGTCAGCATTTTTTTCTAAATATTGAACCTATTTAGAGGATCTTTTTCTGATTTTTATTGCATGAAAACATTATCATCCTGGAAGTCCTGTCTATCGAAGTATTTCGTTTTCAAATCTTGCATTCATGCCATGTGGAACAGTCAAACTGGGTCATACAAGAATTTAGTGAAAATCTAGAGGCCTGTAGATCGACCGATGTCCTGGCGGGTGCCGTACGGCCATCGGCAGATAGCCTTGCGATACCCGTGCGATGTCTTTCAGATTCAATTGATTGCGGGCGCCGTACGATGCCTGTACTAATGTGACCATACTCACGATTAGATCAAGACATCGGTGAAAATTCACCGGCGCCCGGTCGATTTATAAATCGACCGATGACTACTCATCGGCCGGCGCCCGGCGGCTATGTGACCTAGGCATTAATAGTAAAAACTTTTAATTCCAATCAACCTGCATCTCTCGTCTAGAACTAGACGGACAAACATAGCATCAGACATTGACTGACCATCGGGTGAGCTGTGATAGCTTGATCATATTTGCACAGGGGTTGCTGAATTCTTGCCTTTAATTAAAGACATTCGTCTTTTCATTATGCGTGCATACACACCATGGTGTGACAGCGACAACTATAGACGAGTATTCGTTGCCGTACTTTGATGTGTATCATTGATGACTTATGCTAACTACAATTTAATCACAATAATGTATTCCATTACGGTTTCATTATTTTCACAATAATTGCACACACAGCTAGAGGTATCATAAAACGTTCTTCCTCTATCAAATGAATTGGTAAATCTATGTTACGTCGACATTGTGGCTGTAACACGTCGGTATTAAGATTAACTTAAATATCTATCGACAAGATGACATTTTAGTTACCTGGTTTCTATAGTAACCTTTATAATGGCTACTGTTATCTGGTGAATATATTCACCACCAGCATGCTTTATTCCTTTATGGAAATGTAGGTTGGTGATAATAGTTCAACTCAATGGCCTTTGTAGCTTCTATCATGTAGAGCGAGGTTGTTTATCTCGATGACATCCTTATTCAAGATCGGGCTTCTCTGCTATTGCTGCTATAGAGGGCACTGGCATACTAATAGTACATGCACTAACCAAAATTTTGGGCCCAACAACACTTATTTAAAGGCCCGTTTAGTGGGCCTTTTTGGGCAAAAATGGGCCTTATGTTTTATATCTTAGGCCAAATTAGCTTTTTAGCCACTTTTTGTTTTTAGGGAATTTCTTCTGACTTCACATTTGCCCCCCCCTTGTTGGTTCCTGGATCCGTCCCTGTTCTCCTTCCCATCTCAATCTCATTAAGTTGGTCTCTCTCCTTCTCTGTTTCTGAGATCAACTAACTTCGTGATATTTTGTTTAAACAAAATTTTGATTTAGTAGCTGTACTTATTTATATTTTTAGCTCTTCTTCCATAATAAATTAACTCTATATAATACAACTGCTTTATATAGATCAAAATATTTCTAATATTCTTATCGTTACAAGATATTGAATTCCCATAAAAAATAAGGGTAAGAAAAATCACCATCATATTCAGAATTAATGGAATCGCACATTGTTTGCAAATCCATTAACTCTTAGAATCAACGGGCATTTGAAAATAATTTATACTAGTATGAGAAACAGAAAACCCGAAATTTAAACATCAAATGTGATCATAATTTCTTCTTTGGAGGAATTTGTAATTGAAAATAAACATGGTTACTCAGGATAATGTGTGAAATTATCATAATTTAAAATATACAACATAATCCTTTGAAAATAGCCGCAGAATATTTTGAACGACCCCTTCATCAAATGCAAGAGCTTAACAAATATGTAGAAAAATACCTTATTTATATAACTTCACTTGCAAAAACCTCTATTCGCGATGTACTCACTAGAGTACAGAGACTATGCCATGATTTAAACGGATTTCCCAAAGCTTTATCTTCTGCTGCATCTGAATTGCAGGATACGCATTTATTTGACTCATTTGATAGGACTCTCTTGTTTGTAGGACAAAAGGTTAAACAAAAATATTTTGATACACTCTTCTTCAGACGTTTGATGTGCATTAAAGAAGAAATATAACCTGTGACTGGATGAATCTTTTTTAAGTATACATATTATCAACATTTACCAATGCCTCATATCTTAAAATATGTATTAATTCAACAATATGTTAACACAGGTGACGTAAAATAGCACCATTCAATTGCAAGTCAATTTGAGTATCAAATAAAACATTTTTATGTACTAGTATCGGAAAATAAACGTACACTCCCCTCCATAAGGTTCAAAAGTTCTTCAAATTTATCATCAATTTACGACCTATTGTAATGGAGGAAAAAAACTGAGAAAATTTGGAGGTATTAACACGTAGTTCAATGGGGGAGCTAAGGTTGCCAAACTTATGGAGGGGAGTGTATGTCATTTCAAAATAACCAAACCAAGTAATGTAATGGCTTAAATCAATAATATTATCCGGCATTCCGATCTAATTTCGTTTATTATGATAAAAATGGATGCTTGCAAGGTGGACAAACATGTATGCATGAAGAATGTGGTTTTCATTTCCCTTTAAAAACTTTTAATTGTCTGCCAAGCTAGGATGAATGGATATTATTTTATTAGAGTTGTGGCTAAATTGAATGAAGTGTTGAAAAATCAATGAAATTGGTGATTAATTCCTGAAAGAATTTAAAAGGAGAATGGAGGTATTGAGAAATAATGTCAGTTAATGTTGAATTAAACGCTCGTGTAAGCGTCTTCTGCTGTTAACTCCCGTCCATTATGGCAACCATAATGAGACACCATGCATGCACAGAGTGTAGGCTAGAGTGGTAGAAACAAGATGTCAAATTAATGAGGCAACCATGCAGCACTGCTTTTCAACCATATCCATTGGGAGCATCTTTCTGCTGCTGCTCCGATTTCTGTACTTGCTCTTTCCCTCTTGGTAGATGACATTCCAAGAGATTTCAGCATCAAAGTCACTGACTTCTCTGCAAATCCTCTGCATCCTACTTCTACAGGGAAGCTATGGGCTTCCCCACAGTTCTACGTTGCCTCTGTGATGATTTCCTCGTATTTTGATTGTTTTATCTCATGGGAATAAACCTACATTCTTTCCTCCCATGGGACAATTAGTTCTACTAAGATAGCACACCTCCTGTTGTCTGGTGTAATGACAATATCTCAGATTCCCTTATGTCACAGGTGACCATCTTCCCTTTCTCTCTTGTGTCTGCTTTTGGGCAGACCATTTCCTCGTTCTTGGTGATGTCGCTTCAGTTGATCTATCTGTTGGATCTTTGGAATCTCTAAGAAACATTGCTGATTGCACTTTTATCACTTTAAACACTTCAACTATGGAGGAGATGGAGATTGCAGCTGGAGATGAAGTGCTATAAAGGATGACTGGCTAAATGACTTATGGGCTCCTAACCATATCCGAAGAAATTTGCTGGCGATCCTTTATAAAGCTTCAATTGCCGTCATAGAGAAGTCATACACTGTGAATGGCCAATCCAACCTAGGAATGATTCCCTACTGGAAGCACCAGATCTTGAGCTTTCCAGGTAATGAAATCTTGTCGATAGTTTTCATACAAGTTGTAAGTTGACATAATGTATCTGATGTGTGTGTCTTGTCGTTAAGGTTGTGGTCAAACCATTTCCCAAGGCATTTGATAGGATTCTCGTTGATGGTAGAAATAGTCTCCCCCTGCGTTGTAAACTTACTGCCCTTCAAGATAAGGCTTCTAGATTTCTTGAGCTTTAATGTTAATCTACCCCAAGTAGCAAGTTCTTCCAACCGAGAAAGAACCCATCTCATCCCAATTTCTTGGCATGCCATGGCTGTTATGTCGTCCATGAAAGAATGGAGGTATTGAAACGGAGGAAGAATTTACAGGGAGAATGGAGGTATTGAAATGGAGGAAGAATTTACAGGGAGAATGGAGGTATTGAAATGGAGGAAGAAATTACAGGAGAATGGAGGTATTGAAATTGAGGAAGTATTTAAAGGGAGAATGGAGGTATTGAAATTGAGGAAGAATTTACAGGGAGAATGGAGGTATTAAAATGGAGGAAGAAATTACAGGAGAATGGAGGTATTGATATTGAGGAAGAATTTAAAGGGAGAATGGAGGTATTGAAATTGAGGAAGAATTTAAAGGGAGAATGGAGGTTTTGAAAATAATGTCAGTTAATATTATACTTTGTACCTTAAGAGAAGAAAGTGATATAGCTGATATGTTAATGTTAGGAGGATAGAAACTAATAAAAATTTAATTTACAGCAGTAGCACTGTAACATTCTGACAGCCATTTGAAAATATAAGCGAAGAGCGCTTTCTAGTGCAACTTTTGGCAAATTATGCATTAATATGTTACTTTGACAATGGCATTTGAGAATACAAATTTTGATAAATTGGTATTTGTAATACAACACATTTATCGGATAAGTAAGAAATGTTAAACACCACGCTAAAGGGACCTAGTCACACAAGTATTTTATTATCAAGCTTCAAAATATCAACACGATCGATGGCTTGATTGTTTGTTGTGAACTCAGCGTTTATGTTGGCCCCAAAAATAAAACAAACGCACTTGCATATAGTCTAACCAGACACGAGGCAGGCGAAGCAACTTCCTCACTTAAGCTTTACATATATTTTCCATTTATATAGACGTCTTTTCAGCTAATTGTGGAAAAGATGTCACATGGTATTAGGCTTTGCCTCATATAAAAATAGATTTGCCTCACCTAGATATTCATTCTGGCTACACGTTTGTTCTCATCAACTTAAGCAACTTTAATTCATAATATAAGTTTAACTGGTGTCTATTAGAATAATAAAGATGAACTACAACTAACTGGCTTTTAATTCCGATGATTTATTTTTTTACGACAATGAGTCACATTCACACATTGTTGCTATTGGAATGTTTGATAAATAAATTGCTAGATAAGATGCTATGTTTAATTTCTAATCTCTATATGAGTTAATGTGTCCCTTTTACAGAAGTTTTTCTATTAGATCTACAATTTTACATTTTATACCTCATCAAATACCTTTCAAACATGAATTTTATTTTTTGCATGACTTAGGAAAAATCAGGAACTTGTCTATTGAAGAAATAAACTGAGTCAGTATCAATGCTAATCAATTTCTACTACTTTGATAATTAGCACTGTAATATTGCAGGGGGACTAAAAAATAACGACAGCATGAACGTACAAGAATTGTCACTGGCGACAATTCAATTAAAAAGCAACGAGGGACTATAATTGGGAAATAGATACATAAAATACACAATAGTGTGTACAATAGTGAAAATCCAAATGAATTATACAGCAAACAAAACGAAACGTATAGACAAATGTATAACAATATTGTACAATAGGGAAAACACCAACTTAATCATATCACAACAAAGAAAACTAAACATATAAACAAATATGTATGCATTATGGACCGTCACACATCATAATTTATAATATATGCGTCATGCGACAAGGTTTCTTTACTGTTTATGTGTACGTCTTCTCGAGCGTATCCGGGAATTCTTTTTTAAGTTACAGCCTCAGAGCCTACCTGAATTTAAACTATATAGAAGCATCTGAATGATTATACGTATACTCACTTCTTTTTTTATTTCGGGGTAAACATTGTTTTTGGTTGGGTCTGTATTTAAAATCCATGGTGGTTGCTCATCCGTTGTGTTTTCCGCCTTTTTGGGTCTTGATTCATCATCGACATTTTGAAATAGATCTGTTCCATTAGTCCTTGGTGATCTGGTGGTCGTGTACTTATACATTATCGCACCTCATGGGACATAAGACACTATCCACCATCATACATTAGATAGAAGCATAGTTTCTATCGAGATTATGCCCAAATGACTATTTTAATAATATCAATTATTTCTTGCTGTTTATCCAATCCAATATCATCCGAATTTTACGTGTCCGCATTTACGTAATGTATACATGGTAAGCCACTTAACAAAATTGGTTAACTCTTCCAATATGTATTAAACAATCCTATATTGTTTTCCTCGACTTCATCCTCATCTGAGATATACGTTGCGCCACGATGGAAACCCCCATTCGCATACAGCTGTTGTTAAAAACTTACCGGTAGATATGTCAATAGTATTTAATGTTTTAATCCATGGATTCATCTGCCCCTTGCCATCAATCATATGCCAGTAAGATGTCTTATGAATCAATGCATAGATTAAGATTATACTGTGTAAATGAATGTATAAAATCACTGCAGTTTTATTTCATCGATGATGTCGACAACAAGTTTCTACTTCAAACAATAATCGTTAACCTGAACGTATACAGCCCCTAACCAATATCACAAGCGCCGATACAATAACAGCGAACGTATTTATTAAATCTATGTAAATTTCATAATTACATTGTTCGTATCGTCTGATCATGCATGCATCGTGATAATGAAAACAGGACGCTCTTTTAGACGTTGATGGAGCACTTTATACAGAATCAAACCAGACACTTATGAAAATTCATGATCATATCATTTGTCGAGAAGAAATTTTGACGCTAAAAATCATTCATTCATTTTGTTCTTAAAATGCCATCGCCGATGTAAGGCCTTTTAAAATTATTCATGACCAATATTTAAAAGAATATTACACCATTTTTATCTGGTTGATATGTTAAATATATCTTACGTTGTCTTGCGTTCTATCTTTTTTACACAAATTAGACTGAGGTAATTTGAGATTTACTATTCGAATTCGTAGTTTTATGAGAGTATCCTATACAAAAAGTGTCCGCCTCAAATACAGATATACCTAATTAATAAAGGAGGTAACGCAGATAAAAATAAACCCATCAATAAAATTTGAGCTTTGCTGTAAGGCGATTGAAGCCTCTGGAAGTATTAAGCATTAGAGATTGAAATAGCTCATAAGAAGACGAACTAAAAAGTAATGAATAATGTTTTATCTATAATTACATATAGTCCTTCTAAACCTTTATCATACCGGGGTCACCTTGACAACGGCAAAAACAGTTGTAAACAATGAAACTAATGAGAATTTTGGCACGTCTTTGTTGGCAGTGGCTGCAGTTTTTGACTGTCTGTATTCGTAGCCATTGTCATACTTTCTCATCATCTGCACGTATTTTTGTACAGGTATTTTACCTATGAATTGACTATTTTTGATCATCAAACACACCATTCTCGAGTTTGATCTTCATATATATTCAAACAATAACACAATGGAAACGCATTAACCATCGATTGCAAAAATACGATAAGTTCAACACACATAGTCACTAATTGGAAGACAACCATGAAGAGACTTATGCAAGCGATCGTTGCTATTAACCACCATTTAATGCGTTTTCTAGAACAAAAGGTGTTATATAAATTATTTATGCCAACTAAGTCATAGTCAACTAGATGGAAGTGTAATTATGATATTATGTTAGTTGCGTGGTGATAGAAACTCCCAACAAATTGTAAATTGGACGTCGAAGAAAGTATATGATAAACAAGAGTCGGGTTTCACATAAAAGCTTGGCGTTCCTTTTCATGTCATTCTTCAAATACTACATTGAATTTCCCTTGCTGCAAGGATGTTTCACGCTACTGACGCTGTTTTTAAGTCATTGTATAGGACGTAGTTACCCGTTTAAAACCCCTTGAAAAGATCCCGTTCTCTTTTAAAACCCATCAAGAATCGACTTGAACCCCAAACAGAGGATGGCGTTCTTTTTTTAAACCAAAGAAGTTTACCATTTTTAACTTTCCGTTTTGTAGGAAACCTCAGAAGACCCGTCAAAAATTATTTTGCTTTTTCATTTGATGAAAGTATTGTTGTGGTGATGGTTAATTTGTGCCCATTGGGTGTTAGCTTCCAGCCCAAGCTCCCTTTCAGTGTCTCGTAATAAAATATGTTGAAGACTAGCAATGCCACGGAGTTTGCTTCCAGCCTCTTGATTATTAGGCGTCTGTACCTTACGTTTTGTTAGTTACATTGACATATAGATCTTACACTAGCTTATTAACTTATGACTTTTTAAAATCCCTTTTATGATATATCTGGAAAATGCTCAATTGTTTCGACAGTTCAATCAAATTGAAGTAATTCTATTATTGTTCTGTTTCACTTTTAAATGCACCTGCCCCCTGTCTGTTAGTGTTATGAAAAATACGTTGCCTGCATTAGGGTTAACTGTGAATTGAGTAAGTTCTATGGGACAACGTACATTCGAGTTGACAACGTACATATATGATTTTTTTTAATTATAGCCAAAACGTTAATACTTATTAAATCTTCAATATACCTTAATTGTGTATTTTAAATATACGAAAGAATAGAGCACTGTTCGAAAGTCTTTTATCTTTATTAGAAAGTTAAATGTCTTCTCAAACGAATACACACAAACATGAAATCTTTAATGTATTCCTCAGATTATCTTTTTAAAACCTGCATAAAACATACATCATTGTCCTTGCTTCAAATTGGTTAAATAGTGACACCGTACATCTAAAGTGCACGACGGTATATTTTGTCACTGTACGTTGTCGATGGTTAGGCGCGGGTTATGGTCGCTGCAACACTGAACCACGGCAGGATGATACTTATTGGAGTTAGCATCATCCAAGATGGTGGACAAAATTCATTCTACATCAACAAAAAAACTTTCATTTTCATCATAAAATAATCGTTGAATTTACTCTGAGAAATGTCATTCAATATTGAACAAATATTTCATTCTACTGAGGTGAATACCTGTGCATCTTTCAAAAGTGATCTTCCGCGAAGCCCGAACGCCTGGTGGAATACCACCTTGTGAAAGTGTCACAGGTATTCATCGAAAGTAGAATGAATATTTGTTTTAATATATCACTATCTGTCTGTTGATTCCGTGGAATTCGACATCGTAGATGGCTCTGCATTAATATCTGTTTAATCCTGATTTCTCACTTCACAAAAAGTTTTATAATTTTGAATTCATTTCATTTTGCAAGTTTATATCATTCCAAGTTTCCTTCATCCAATCAGCAAAAAAATGTTATCGAACGTTTAGCTGATTTTGTGGACATCTTCAATTATTTTCAACTTGTCTTCGTCGGAAAGGTCCATGTGCAGTATGGCAAGTGATTTAAACAGTCATATCTTTCACCGTGAGAACTGGGCATTAATACGGTGGTTTTATAAAAACAATGTTTTCTTTCAAGTGAAGTACACATGATGATAAAAATATCAATCGAACAATTCGAAAAATTATGAATAGGGACCCTATGTAATAAAAATTTCAAAATGTTGAATCTATTTACTCAAAAGAGGATCTTCTTTTTCTAATTTTTATTCCATGAAAAGATTATGCAGCTAGTGGTCTAAAACTTCTTCAAAAATAGAATGGAGTTTTGAAGATATCAATTTTCGATGACCAAAATTATGCTGAAAACAATGGATAGCACGAGTTTTCCCTATGAAAAAATAACATGGGATATGTGGGTTTTAACTTTAACGCATTTCAACACCCATCCCCTTTTCAGAAATTGTTAATATAGTGTAGAACAAACTTTCGATATGTTAAACTTGAGAAAAACAAGATCCCCTTTTTCCGAAAATAAGCCTCACATTTAAAATTCTTTTTAAAAATGCCAAGGTGGGGTCCTAAACCATAATATTTTGAGAGTTGGATTGATATTGTACTATCATGTGGACTTCGCTTGAAAAAAACATTGTTTTTGTAAAAGCCACTGTATTTATGCCCAGAAAGTACTCATGGTGAAAGATATGGGCGTCTAAACTCACTTACCATACTGCACATGCACTTTTGTTTAAATCTTCTAGTCTGCCATTTTGACTTTCACTGAACGAAAACAAATTCTCATTGGAAATTCCCAGGGAGCGTGGAATATCGCTAGATATCCCACGGTTGTCTTATTTGATTAGCGTGACCATTGAATACCACCAGATATTCCATAACATCTGACCTATGTGATATTTGGCAATTAGCCAACCTGGTGCAGCTTTCTGCAATGCCTTCATATAAGATATTCACTTGTAAGAAATGCAACTCATCGTGTAATTGTATTATATTTCATTTTCTGCATTGAAATCAATTTATGTCTGATATAGACGCATTTTTGAGCGGCTCATTGATATCTTACCAGTTCATGATAGTGTTACGCTTTTCAACTTTGATGATGATATTTTCTTACAGACTGTTCTGGGAAGCAGAATAGATTTTGATGTAGCCAATGATACCATTTATGAAATGTTCGTTATCGAATGTGCAAATACATGTTACAATAAAAATATATTTTAAAATAGACACGCTTGAATTGTAATGTTAAAATGTATTTAGAGTAATTTAACTTGTAAATATGTAAATGTTAATAATCCCTTTACTCTTCTGTAATATATGTTCTGTAATGTGATATACATGTATTGATTGTTTTGCTCTCCAATTAAACGGAGGAAATAAAGAAACATAAACATAACGTGTGACCCAGTTTTGACCAATCATAGAGTTGCTAGCTAAATGGTGATATAACTGGAAAACAGCAACTCCATGGAGTAGCAAATCCCAACGAGCACTATAACATATATGAATCTGTATTTGTCACAAAAATATAAACATTTGAAACATTAGAGATACACGTATATCAGAATTTCTACCGATTTTAAAAGCATTTGGATGACCATTTAAGACTTTTAAAGGCACAAATACTAAAGGTAATTTGAATTTTCTGGGGAACAGATCAGGAAAACAATACCAAATAATGATGTGCCCTTTTCCTTCAATTTGTGAATAATATAGCCATAATTTGAAGATATCAGAAAATGATTGCGAAATTCCACACATGGCCGCGGCCGTTTTGAATTTTACAAGGCTCAAATTACAAAACCGATACAATATTTGCAATCTACTCTAATTTGCTTTTTATTATGAGTATAATGAAGCTATACTTTAGAAAGATCTCAAAATTAACGCGAATTCCTGTTTGCAGCCATTTTGAATTTTCTGAGGTAGAAATCAGAAAGACAATACAATAGTAATGATCTACCCTAAACTTTCTTCAATTTGAGTATAATATAGACATTCTTTAAAGGGATCAGAAAATTATTGCGAAATCTCATATAAGGAGGCCATTTTGAATTTTACGAGGCCCAAATTACAAAACCGATACAATATTTGCAACCTACTCTAAATTGTCTTTGATTTGAGTATAATAAAGCTATACCTTAGAAAGATCTCAAAATAAGCGCAAATTCCACCCTAACCCTAACCCTAACCCTAACAAAATTTAAGATTTTCACGAAAAATTCCCGCCATTTTCAAGCGGCGGCCATCTTGGAATTTTTTGTTGCGTACAACTATTCACCAATATACATCTTTCCACCAAATATGAAGAAAATCCGCCCACTAGTATTCGAGTTATCTTCCGGACAGACGGACTGACGGATCGACTGATTGACGGACGGACTGACGGACGGACGGGCAGACAGGCGGACGGACGGAGGGCTTCACTATATCCCTACCAAACTTTGTTCGTTGGGATAATAATTGCATATATCGAGGTCCCAAAAAGAGACACTTTTTACAAGTATTTTCTCAGCGACTGATACACCACATTCACTGAGAATGTGTACATAGTAGCCTTAGAGTATCATTAGCAAGTTATAAAAATATAAAAAAAGATCAAGTAACTAATCTGTGAGTACTAAGGAATTCAAAATAGCTTGTCAAAAAATCCCATACCCGAGCTCTGCGATCAGACTTTCCTAGTGTTTGTGCCAGTTTTCAGGTGATAGCATCTGATCAACCAGTCAAAATAGCTATGCGTGTCGTGCCTAATTAATTAATTGTCTATCTAATTAATTTTTTAGTACTCACATAATAATTTTATAGTTTTGTAACTTGCTAACGATACTCGTGGGCTACTCTGTACAAAGTTTCAATTCAGTGAGTTTATCTCTTCAATTGCTGAGAAAATACTTGTCTCACTTTTTTGGGACACCCGATACAAAATATGTTAGTTTCTCCCTATACTATGGCTATGTTAGGTTATTTCTTTTATTCATTTAAGGTAATCACTTCAAATTACAAGTACAAATTGATCTAATTCATCACAAACGTCACTACCCTAGGAGACACTCACATCTAAGACCTTGAAAAACCTTTCTTGAGAACACTTAGAATGTTCATCTTTACTCATCAAATTTGGGATCTATTGTAGATTAGCGAGCAGAAGAAAAGAGATTCTATTATTGGAATGGAATTAAATTGATCTTGAATTATAGATCATTCGTATCATCATGAACTAATGCACAAATATCAATCGAATTGTATCATAGTTGTTAGATCATAGTTCGGGTTGCTATGGATCTGTTTTCCTATCTAGTTTAAAACGCTTTGCCTTTACCCTTATGTTACAGGTACCTATACTTTTATAAACATTGTTTTTTCTATACACTGTCTTATACGCACTGGTGATCCGCTCGATTACGCTTCAGTAACAAAATGTCGGAACGTTGAAGGTACGATTTTTCTTTTTTGCTTATTTCGCTCGTTGTAGGCAGAATCCCAACGACATATTTTCTCACAAACGTGTATCAGTATCATATGGTTTATGAAAGGTACATGTTTGCGAAAAAATAGCTCAGAAGACAACAGAATCGTCGATTTAATTCCTCACTTAAGTTACATAAACGGTAAGGGTTAAAAGTGCAGATCTTAAAAAGAAAAATCGCGCCTTCGACGTTCCGACATTTTGTTACCGAAACGGTTCCAGCGAAATCGAGTGGATCACCCGTGTATACGGTTATACGGGCTGTCATTGAGAAAGGATATGAGACATGTGCCATGTTGTAACAACATTAATTATTCTATTTCCAGAAATAATATGACCTCGAGACTGATGTAGGCACAACCGATATGATCACTTTCATGCCACAACGATCTCCACTCGCTCTATCGGAAAGCAATTTCGACAGAGATCACATTCATGAGAAAATTTATTTCGCGGTAATCTCAATTCAATACAGAGCTCAATAAAGTGATAACGAATCGGTACAAGTAGTTACCCTTGTCATTTTAAAATCCATCCTACTCGGAGTTCAGTTTAAAAGTGCACGTCTTTATATATGTTTCAAAATTTCTAAAGCTAACCTTGTATTCGCGAATGCAACTAACGCTTGTCGGCTACCGGATTAAGGTGCAGTGGTACTTAACAGGAAATGACAAAACAGGAAGTGACAAAAATGTGTCATTTTAAAACATTTTTTGAACAAAGATAACAGAGTTCTGTTTTGACCTCCAGACAATTCAAAACGTTCCATAAATCATTCACAGGACCAGGATCACAATGCCCATGGTCAGAATGACCCTAAACATGATGAAATAACTTTTTCAGCCTGCTGAAAATGTGACTGAATAATAGCTAAAAGTAGCCCCATCGGGAAAGGTCACTGAACAGAATCTTTTGAATTTTTCAGAAAATGTACCCAATATATTGTTCTAACTGACGAAAATTTTCGAAAATTGTCTGAAACAAAAATGGCGGTCAAAAAAGGAAAATAGATCGCCTTTCAATTCATTTTTTTCATTTTTTTCTATTTCTACAAATGATATCACATTTTCAAAGATTATTTAGAGCATTTATATTGGGCACATTTTCAGAAAAATTCAAAAGATTATGTCCAGTGACCTTTCCTGAGCCCCTACTTTTAGTTATTTTCCAGTCACATTTTCAGAGGGCTGAAAAAGTTATCTTATCATGTTTAGGGTCATTCTGACCATTTACATAGTGATCCTTGTCCTGTAAATGATAGGTGGAACTATTTGAATTGACTGGAGGTCAAAACAGAACTCTGTTATCTTTGTTCAGAAATATTTTTAAAAAGCCACATGTTTTTCACTTCCTGTTATCTCATTTCCTGTTAAGTAACACTGCACTTTAACCTCCTGTTTTATGACCAACTCATTTAGATATGAATGGCATAGTGGCAGGTACTATTCATATTTAAATGAGTTACCCGGATAATAGTAGCTATAGGTTAATCCGGTGTAAAATAAATTATGGTCCCCTGGGGATTATGATCCCCTTTCCTTACGGCCCTGACTCTGTTTAAATAATAAGGAAAATAATTGTAATTGGGTCACCATGTTAATCAATAGAGAGTAGGACCAAAATTTGATAGGACCACCTCCCCTTTTACACCGGTAGTCGTCAGGCGTTAGTTGCATTTGCGAATACAGGCTAAGTAATATGAATGTCTCAAATGGCTCAATGAATGGAGGGATGGAAATAGAATGAAATATACATAAAATTATTGAGAAATGTCCTGTAAATTATTAACTGTATTATACCATGATAAATAATCAAAAAGGCATGAATATATTAAATCTTGGAGGTATTATTTTAAGTTAATTAGTTAAAGCCAGGAATGTACCAAGTGTCGACAAGAATAGACAATAATCTTCGATGGAACCGACTGCTTTTACAAACAAAGCATAAAAGATCTTTTGAATAACCCTCGTATTTTCTTATTAATAATTAACTTATTCGGTTCAATTTGATATAACGCTTCCCTATCACAATTACACGACAGTAATAAGCCTTCATACTCACATTTTGATTTTCAGAAGGTGTCCATTTCATGTCAAGGTCATCGTCATCCATTGAGTTTTGACGGCGCTTCACCTTCTGGTCAAAAAGCTGTGACCTTGACCTATAGGTCGCCAAAACAGCCTGTCGGAACGCCATCGATATAATCTACAAGTGGTTTCCAGTCTTTAGGATCTCGTAACTAATTGCACCCTACTAATTGAGAATAATGGCTCGCTTCCGTAAAAGGTTCACGTTTCGTAAGATCCATAATGAGTTGTATACAATATATCGAAAATGTTTCCCAGGTAAGATTTGTGTGTTGCAGGTCTACGAAGTGACGACAGCTGGTCCTGATTTCCGTTGATTAATACGAGTGCCTCTCGTTCTTACTTTTTCTGTCAGTCCAACTACAATAAAATGAATTAAACAAAAACCTTTCAGAAAACACATATACTTGCTCTAAATTATGAGTACTATTAACCTGTCGGCATAGAGAGTTATTGAGAATTCTTTATGTCTGATTATTTCTTTTCATCTATCGAAGCGTAGCATTCGAAGTAATCAAAAACGATTCTCATTCAAATTTAGACAAATATAAAAATAACTGGTACGGCGGGTAATCAATGTTGCGTTGTTGTTTCGGATTTCAGCATGAATGAACATTGAATGTAACAAAACAATGGCTTCGATATGTTGTATGGGTCAGTAGGGTCGTTCTATAATTTATATCTAAAAGAATGTAAAAATATTGAAAACTTCGCGGTGCAATGACGCCCAAATGGAACATTGAGCTGATAAAGCTCGTGATTTTCATCAGCAACAATTGGATTTATAGCCCAATTGAAGGACTAATTCACAGCTGCGCTCAACGATAAACGAAGTATTTCGTTAAATTTCGTTAAAAATTATGGTACTACTCTCCATTGATTTATCTGTTGACCTAAATACAACTCTTTCCCTCATTATCGTATACACAATCGGGGCCAGTAAGGGCCGTTAAGAAAGGGGACCATAATCCCTGGGGATCATTTCCTCCACACCGGTGCTAAGTCATTGGCCATCGCTGATTGGTCAAAAGCATTCATTGACCCCGTCCGATTACGATTCAAATTTTGTATTTAACATTTTGAAAGAAGGAATTTGTGTAAGAAATATTTTGACTTGTTTTTTTACACAAAAATATCATTTAAACACCTCATCAATGTGTGGCATGCAAAGATTGCGGATAATATTACGTCGAGAAATTGTAATTATAAGCTCATCACATCTATGACGGATTGCTTTTCTCCTCTATTATATAATACAAATAGAATGGGTAGACTGAAAAAGAGAAAATAACGGGCATGGAGAACCGTATATTGAAAAGTACACAACTCGTTCAGTATTACGTAAATAAGCCTATCTATCTGTTTATGTTTATGTCTCTTTGAAATACACTTGCCTTATCAATAAACGTGTACGTGTTTTAAGATCGGGATGAACATTCACAATCGAAGATATATTTTTTATTAAAAATTAGTCGCATTATCTGATCTTACGTGGAACTATCTGATCAAATCAAGAAATAATTGAAAAACACGGATGCGCATGCAGAAATGTCCCCAGTTTCCACGGAACTATTGCCAAACAACCTAAATTCAAAACATTAAAAATGTTATATTTTTTTTTAATGTTCTCATCGACTGGTCTCTCTCCGTACCTGTACCTTTAATTGTGTATGTAGACTTTTAAGTCGAGTTACTCGTGCATCAAACCCATATAATAGTAGTCTTCTCGTCAAACTAGCGCTGGTAAAATAGTGTATAAATCTATTTCATCATATAGTATTATAAGTTATTGAATGATTTGAAGTGCAATACAGGATATACTCTGCTCGAGAAATTCTGTATTGGAACGAGACGAAGTCTGTATTGCTACTGATATTGTCCCCTCCGTACCAATATTTTCTGTATTGCGATGGAGATGATCAAACGGGGACAATCTCAACAGCAATACAGATTGGTACAGCACAAGAACTGACCAATCAAAGGGCTTCGTTTTACAGATCATGCGATAAATCTATATATAAGGGACAACACCTTTTGAATTTCTACATGATCGAATAAATGGCCTTGCCCTGTAATATGACCACTAACATAACAAAACACTTTACAATATCGGTCCATCAATCAATCAAATGAAACTCTATATTATGCAGCTTTCAACGAAAAGTGTCTTTGTATCGGTGCATTCACCTCCCGTAATAATCATTTCTATTAGTTGTTATTGCAAAGCTGAAATATTATCATTAGCTTAGAATGGCCATCGAGCATGACATGCCTTCCCAATTAAATTTGCCGAAATCAATTTATCTCAAAAAATTGTACCCAGGAATGCGTCTTTTTTCCTTCAAACATGGAACATGGGTGATGCTACTTTCAAGATTTTCTCTAGAGTAAACAGCGTGACGCAATAAATCGTTCAGAGATATAAACTGATAATGAAAGTTTATTGTCTGTCTGATGACAACATTTCGAGAATATTCATCTATGACTCGCAGACTTATTCTATGGTTTGACCACCAAACATAAAAAATGCGCGATGGTACTAAAACAAGATTTTCTCTAAATTGTGTACAGTAAATAAAGTTACCTTGTGAAAGGGACGGGTACGTTATTGCCCCGGGTTATTGCAAGCTTTTTTAGACAGCTCTTACTATGTTCTAATAATCATTTGACCACAAAAACAAATGCGTTTGTTTGGCCAATATGTTATCTTCAATAAGGGGCAATAGAATGAAAGTAAAGTCGAACGGATTATCTCTTAAGCTGTCATTAATCCACCCATCATCACCAATTTTCCGCAATTATGAGTCAATTTTTACCAAAAATGCAACATTTTATTCCAATTTTTACGACTAAATTGAAATGTACTATAAGTCATGATTTACCTCTGAAAGGAAAGGTGAGTCCCCTTGGGATCCACGCGGTCCTAACTTCGACCGTTAATTTGAATTTTTGACCTACCGGATGTTTGAAAATCAAGGATTACGAGTCTCATACTGCACCGTTTTTCTTCAAACTTGTTCCATTCAAAGCATAACAAAAATCCCTTTCTGATGGTACATTATTCTCTTAAACAGAGTCCCTACTTCCAGCGGCATTTTGGTCCCCAGCTGTAAGAAGGCCTTCTAACAGCTGGGGACCAAAACGCTGCTAGAACGAGAAACTCTTTACAATAAAGTAATGCACCGACAGAAAGGCGAATTTGTTTTGCTTTTAATGGTATAACTTTGAAGAAAAACGGTGCAGTATGAGACTGGCAATCCTTGATTTACAAGCATCTGGTAGGTCAAAAAATTTAATTAACGGTCGTAGTTAGGACCGCGTGAGATCGGGATAATCCGGAAACAATGGAAAATTGACGTCAAATATCTTGCGTAAAAGCAACATTTTTTTATATGGTTAATGTACAAAAAGATTGGGGGGTGTTACATAATTGATCTCCAAAAAGAAAAAAATAACAAAATAAGAAAGGGATTATCTCAAAATCCATTTGTTATGATCCATTATATCTCATAAACCATGCTATTTGTTTCTGTGGTCAAATAATTATTAGAACATAAGTAAGACCTATCTAAAAAAGCTTGCAATAACGTATCTGACCCCTTACATATATTCATAATCATTAAGTAGGCTGCCAAATGATCAAGTTTCAAAAATATTACTTCTGTTTTCATCAAATATTCTTTTATCCCTTACACTGAGTTATTTCATGTTTGACTCGGCATAACTTTTGGACACCCTGTAGACGCGATAGAATGTACACCTTTGACCAAATCAAACACTAATTGTTATTTTAATATCTCCTCACGTATTTTCGAAGCATAATTGTTTTTGCCTAAATAAGATTGATTCTAAGCTTTCGGATGGTATCGTTGATTAAACTATTCCATTGTCAGGTCTCCCTGAAGATATGTGGATTTGCGGTTCTCCATTCGCTTCTTGCCCGTTCTGATCTACTCCATTCCCTTTAACCGTTCGTGCAAGTAGGTAGTATGTACGATGAATACGCTACCCGCTTTGGGCTAATCTGCCCTATGGTTTTTGTATCCTAGATGTATGGTTAGAATCAATTGTTTGTCATATTCTATCATTCAATACACTAAATATGCAAAATCATTCATTTCGATAGCATTGTCAATATTCCAGAAGGGCAACAAAACAGCAAATAAGTATATCAACTTTCAGAAAATCAAGGATGCACTGAAAATAATTAGTAGCAAAGAGAAACACAAACATAGATGTGTGCGATGTCCGTTTCATAATTGAATCCCTTGGTGTAGCATTAATTCTTCGTGATAGACTTAATAATATTATTTAGCCAAATTACGGAGCATTACATTTAAAGGTATTGTCAACAGCGCTTAATATCTGCGTCAGAGGAAATAGTAGTTCATACAAGAAAATTCCAGAGATAAAGCTGAATAAACCTGATGCGCTTGTGCGGTCGATAAAATAATACTTAGTTTCGATTATTACGCTGACAAGATTAGCGCCCTCTTTACATTCTAAAATGACAAATTAGAAAATACCTCTTTTGAGGAAATATCAAACTGAAATACTGTCATGAAATGCACCGTTTCTCTTCATAAAACTACTTACAAAGACACTGGACATCGCTTCTTGATATTCGAATCACCATTCATGAAACTATAAAACAAAAGATCTTGACAATTTGAGAAAATCAGCGTCGATCATACCGTTCATTAGAAACTTTTAAAAGTCTGAAATCATTCTAACTTGTTCTTTACAAATTATAGGAGTAGCTTTTGGGAACAGCTTGCATAAACAATGGCTTTTTCCATCACTTAAGATCAATTATTCATAGCATAGCCATAAAGAGAGTTTAAGGTAACAAAGTAGTTGCAAAATACATTTTCGCAACATTTATCTGTCTCATATCTAAAAACACATCGTTCGTTGCAAAAGTGGAGAGATATAATGGATATCAGTATGACAAATTGATACGGTTCATTATCTTTAAGAGTACAGAAGCAATGAGGGTAAAAAAATTCAATATGAATGGAGTCCTAATGGACTCAATTCTGATCAATTCCATCAATTGTGCTGATGATTTCATTATTAAGTAAGTACTGTAAGCTGCCACTAAGGCGTGACCAATCCAAACTACTTGAGGCTACTAAGGTGTGGCCAATATATGAGATCCATCACGTTCAACTAGTGCAATGCATTCCTTCAGCCATTACCCTGAGACCCGGTGTGAAAGAAATTATGGTCCCTGGGGATTATGGTCCCCTTTCTTAACAGCCCTTACTTGCCCTGATTGTGTGTAAGATATAGACGTAAGGGGTATTTAGGTCACCATATAAATCAATGGAGAGTAGGACCATAATTTGATAGGACCTCCTACCCTTTTACACCGGTGTGAAAGAAATTATGGTCCCCTGGGGATTATGGTCCCCTTTCTAAAGGGCCCTTACTGGCCCTGATTGTGTATAAGATAACAGATGTAAGGGAAAGAGTTGTATTTAGGTCACCATATAAATCAATGGAGAGTAGGACCATAATTTGATAGGACCTCCTACCCTTTTACGCCTGGCTAGTAGCAATACTTATTGAGGTGGCTCTCTCCTGAGCAAATTTAAAATCAAACAGTATACAGGTATAAAACCTGACTAATTCAAACGACTCTAAGACTGGCCAAAAGTGTTCGTATTGCAGGTGTTCACATTTTAAGGCTTTTAAAGGGTGACGCATACCGTTTAGCAAATCGAACGCTCGTTTCTGGTGTTGCTCACCGTTTAGTATAAAAGGCCCGATCCCGGAATGATACTCAAGGGTTCACAGGTTCGAGGTCGTTGTATCAACACCTCTAACTGTTATATAGCATATTATATTATAGATCGTCACACATTTATAAAAGGTGATTTTTATTTTGACAAATCAATTCCACATTTATGGGTGAAGTTTCAGGATCTTCTATTTGTGTATAATAAGGAAAAATTGGCATCTAAATTTCCCCATAACGTAATAGCACACATCTTGGCATATGAAATATCCTACAAATGAAACAAAGCAAGACAAACCGGTTTCTAAAACACCCTATGCAGACAGAGCCTGTGGGAAATATTGGGTGCGGAGCAAATGAGCGGAGGGTGCGGAGCTAACGGTCATTTTTGAATTTAAATTTGGGATATTTCTGAAACTAAACCGTTTTGGGACTTCAAATATACCAAGATATGTGTATTTGACACCAAATATCAATACAATTGTGAAAATAGTAGCGCAATGTGCCTTAAACCTTTCCCAGACCTATATATTTTGAAACTATCCTTTTAATACTGAGTCCGCAGCATTCATAAAAAAATGGTGTTCAAGGTACACTATCTATACAAATTATTTTTGCATCTTGGAAGCCAGGCAGTATCTGTGTGATTTTATAAAAATTCGGAAATGTTTTTCAGATATGAGCCCCCTCTAAATATTGGGTGCGGAGGAGCTCCATAAACGTACCTCCGCACCCAATATTTAGAGGGGGCTCATATCTGAAGAACATTTCCGAATTTTTATAAAATCACACAGATACTGCCTGGCTTCCAAGATGCAAAAATAATTTACATGGGTAGTGTATCTTGAACACCATTTTTTATGAATGCTGGGGACGCAGTATTAAAAGGATAGTCTCAAAATATATAGGTCTGGGAAATGTTAAAGGCATACTGCGTCGCTATAAAATGAATTGCAAGTACTATTTTCACAATTTTATTGATATTTGGTGTCAAATACACATATCTTGGTATATTTGAAGTCCCAAAACGGCTTAGTTTCAGAAATATCCCAATTTTAAATTCAAAAATGACCGTTAGCTCCGCACCCTCCGCTCATTTGCGCCGCACCCAATATTTCCCACAGGCTCTGTCTACATAGGGTGTAATACAAGGATTTATATTGGCTGTTGTACATGTATTCTTTGAACTCAATCACTCTTTGGATAACGTTTTCAAAATCATTATAAACGGATTACTTTACATCTACATCTCAAAGACAATTTCAATAAACTGGATTTTACAGAACTCCCCTTATTTCTTAAAAATGGACTGATCCAGTTGATTCGCCTGGAGCCGCCATATTGTTTTTATACGGGATGCTAATCGGAACCCTTTAATATAGAGGCTGATGGGAGGTTTTGGGACCGAGAAAGAATGTACACATTGAGAGGTGTTCGAATATATACATATTTCACTGTATTGGAAAGTAATGAAATGCATTTGTGGATCACAATGAGTGGAATCTTGCTCAATCGATGTATTTTTAACTTTTGATTGTAATTTTGTTTTAACAATTGTAAAATCATATTTGTATATACAGGCCCGTAGCCAGGATTTTTCAAGTGGGGTTCTACTTTTTGAAAATTTTGTGTGAATTTTGGGGCGCACGCGCGGCGCACACTTCCATTTTCACTTCAAATATTCCATGCTTTGATTTTGCCTCTTAAGGTGTATGAAGTTACATAAAAAAAAGCTTAGTTTGTTATAAATTTTACTTAACCTTCTACTAAAAAATATACCAGCACTAATATAAGTGTATACACAAAAATGT